GAGCCGCCCGGAGTCCTCCGGGAGTGGGCGGCATACAAGACAAATAAAATAAATAAATAAATAAATAAATAAATAAATAAATAAATCATAAGCACAGTTCTACCATGTATCTATGCATGGACATCACCAGTGGAATACAGAGAAATCAAACAGAGTAGAGTAGAGCAGAAAAACAGTTGGAAGGGACCTTAGAGGTCTTCTAGTCCAACCTCTGCTCAGGCAGGAACTCATTTCAAACAAACAGTTGGCCAGTCTCTTAAAAACTACTATTACTAAAAGAGTTCATCTATAGCATCAAAGACATTAGCCAAGCGCTGACTGTGGAACAGATCACTAACCTGACATGCGCTTGTTCCAGTTAAGTTAAGGAAGAAAGCCAAAATTGTCAAGTGGTTTGTCGAAGCTGGCTAGGAAGGTGGCAAATGGAGATCACATGTCCCTGGGAAGCTGCAACTGTCACAAATGCATGCTGGTTGCCAAGTGCCTGAACACTGATCACGTGACACTGAGGGAATGCTGCAACAGTCCTAAGTATAAGGATCTATTGCAGTGTTTCTCAACCTTTGCAACTTTCAGATGTACAAACTTCAACTCCCAGAATTTTAGGAATTCTGCACATCTGAAAATTGCTAAGGTTGAGAAACACTGATCTGTTGTAAGTCACTTTTTTCAATGCCACTCTAATTTCAAAACAGTCGTTAAATGAATGGTTGTAACTTTAGGACTACTTTAATGTTTTTAAATGAAAGGAATAAACACCAATAATCTGTACTACTCTGATACCTGAAAATGCATAGGACAGTGATGGCTAACCTTTTTGGTGCCGGATGCCCAAAGTGCGCACTCATAAATGCAAAATGCAGTGCGAGCACCCCCCATGCATTCACCCACCCCCGTGCATGTGCACACGCCCCCTCCTCACCCATTTTTAGCTACCATGCTGGTGCAGGAGGCTTTCCAGGCACAAAACAGGACATGGGGGGGGGGGAGAATGCATGCGCACGAAACCCCAAAATGCAATGAGAGTGCCCCCGCACATGCACCCTGCCCATGCACTCTTGCATCACCCGCATGCACCCCGCCACCCGTATATGCACGGCAGAGACCCGAAGACCAGCCGGCCGGCAGGACACGTGTGTGCTTCCACAGTGGAGCTGGACTCGGGCGACGGCTGGCGTGCCTGCAGAGAGGGCTCTGCGTGCCACCTGTGGCAGTCGTGCCATAGGTTCGCCATCACAGGCATGAAAGTCAAGGACCACAGTGAATAAATGTGACTGAGATATTAAATATAAAGAAGACTGAAGTAATGACAACAGGTAGAACAACCAGCCTTAGAATTGGTAATGAAGATGTGAAACACTGGATAGTTTTTGCCTTTTATGGTCAACCATCAATAGTAAAGGAAAAAGCAGTCAAGCAATACATTGCAGGCTAGCACTTGCTAGAGCAGCAGATCTTGGAAAAGATATTCAGATTCTACGATGTCTATATTTAAAGAGGTCACAATCGTGCAAGCCATGGTGTTTCCTGTCATAATTGGTGGAAGTGAACGTTAGCTTTGAAGAAGATATGAAGAATTTTGATGCTTTGGTGTTGAAGAAAATTCCTGAGAAGACTATGGACAGCCAAAAAAACCCAAAAACAAACAAAAAACCCCAATGGATCATCAAACAAATGAACCCAGAGTTCCCACTCAAGGCACAAATGACCAGGATAAAATGATCCATTATCTAAAGGCGTAGCTCCCTAGAGAAGCCTTGAATCCTGGAATGAAAAAGAAAGAAGAAGAGACCAGCAATAAGGTAGGTGGATGAGCAGGTGGAAGCAGTAGAGGACCAGATCAAGGGAGAGATTGTCATGGAGAAAATCTATGTATTCCTAAGAGTTGATCCCCACTTGATGGCACATAATCAACTAATCAATCAACACAAGATGGATGGGCTGGAATTCCCAGGTCAGAATATTTTATGAAACAGGCAAACTTCACTCTTTCTGCATCATAGATCAGTAAACAAGTTAGTGTATAAGCCACTGCTATAGTGCACTGCCACATCTTATAGTTTTAGGCCAGTACTGCAAAGGTCTTACAAAGGTCGAAAATAAAGATATCAGTGATTCAAATGTAGCTGCTGAAACAGTAGATTTGTAAGAAGACGTTTCCAAAATACAACCACCAAGCAGGATATTTGATCAGCGCAATGAAACTACCTGCAAACAGCTAAAATGAATGCTGATGATAACATCTGTAGTATTATGAGTTAACGTAAGGGTTTTCATTTCCTCATTCAAAAATGGTTGCCATTGCTGGTATATATTTTTGTTGAACAGAATTATTTGCTCAGACAGGGATACCTAAGAAACAGTGTTATACAGTGGTTAAAATACTGGATCAGAATGAAAGAAACAGCGTATCTTTGGCCATTAACAGTATCTCATCTTATCTTACAAGAATTATAAAGAGAGAAGGAATTAAATCCAGGAAAAGAAGTAAGATGCAAATGTAATAAATACCCCGTTTCCCTGAAAATAAGACCTCCCCTGATAATAAGCCCAATTGGGCTTTTGAGACCGTGTGCTAAAATAAGCCCTCCCCCAAAATATTGCAACACAGCAGCAGCCATGAGATGACCACACTTGTCACCTCCTGCACCTCAAAAATAATACCTCCCCGAAAATAAGGCCAAGGGCTTATTTTAGGGGAAACACGGTAGCTATCTGATCATGTAACTTTATTATAATTACAATATGTTATACTTTTTTGAAAGATATTCTCAAATATTCTCAGTTTACAAAGCATAGAATATGAATAACTAAAAATGTGATAAAAATAAAAATTAAGTCCATTAAAATATAACAGAGAAAACAGTGGAATAAAACCTTCTAAGATTAAGAACAAATTAAGAAATAGTAACAGGGGATGGCAGATCCTGTCTTTTGTCCCTACTCATCTGACAGATCTAATCAGCAGGCACATGACAGAGGGCTTCCATAGTTAATCTTAGCATTCAGACAAGTTCATACAGGTTTAGGATGGTATGCTACGTCCTTTGTCAGTGGGGTTTTGGATTATCAAAACAGTGTGCAAATACCACTTTAGAGCAGGGCACAAGCCAAATAAGGAGTTGAATATGCTATTCATGTGAACTCTGAAGAATAGTAATTTACTGTAAACACCAAAGAACAGTCATTTTGGTTGTGTTCAGGAATACATCACATTCTAGTAGTATAACAAAATGATTTTGAAATGAATCTTCATGCATTTGGATAGCATACATCCTAAGCATGGCTTATCGGATAGCAGCAATGCAAAGACAGCTATATCAAATCAGTAGGTCCGCTTCAATCAGACATACTACATTTAAACCAAACCATGGACAGCTATTTTCTGGCTGGGTTGTGAGGACAAGGTAAGCCAATAGTTGGAAGCAGGAATGTTCACTGATATCCAGATTGGTCTTTGCTGTATTGTTCAACAGGTCCACTATAAATACAATCAAATAATAAAGATACAATACAATACAATACCATAGCAGAGTTGGAAGGGACCTTGGAGGTCTTCTAGTGCAACCCCCTAGCCTAGGCAGGAAACTCTATACCATTCCAGACAAATGGCTATTCAACATCTTCTTAAAGACTTCCAGTGTTGGGGCATTCACAACTTTTGGAGGCAAGCTGTTCCACTGATTAATTGTTCTGNTGTTGAGATGTGTGAGGAAGTTGTCCAGTTTTTCTTTCCTGTGTGGCCAAATCGCGAAAGTGTCATCAACATATCTAAGCCTAAATCTGAACACAAACCCAAACTCTGGCTTAGATATGTAGATGACACTTTTGTGATGTTAATCCAAAACCATGCAGAAAGTTATGTTGGAAAAATTTGAAATGTTGCTCAAAATGGGATTTATTTGCCATATGGCATATCCTACATAGACAAGCAATATAAATTAACGTATCAACTAGATTAGTAGAACCCAATGAAACATAAATGTTAAAAGGATCCGTGTTCAAAAATCAATTTCTAGGCCGTCTAACCATTGAAGTAAAGTATTTCTTATATTAAAAATAAGTTGGGTACTGGAGCGGTATATGCCCTCAATTTACAGCTGATCACAATGTGATCTATATTTTGACATGGGACCCTGTAGTCACACTAAGGGAAGTATGCTGTGCCCCATTTATACAGAAAGTCCTGGCAGATGCCATGTGAGATGCGAATCCTATTCAGGATTGTCCATTGCTGATGTGGTAATTCAAAGCCTGGCACCTTTTTTTGTGGGGATATTTATATGTCTTCCTATGTCTGGGCGTTCTGCGACCAGTTGGCTTTCCATTGGGAATTGATGTTAGTTGTTGGCCTGATAAGTGCCAGTGGGGGCTTCCTGGATTTGAGTCTTCCCACTGATAAATGAACAAAGTACTCTGCGAGTGGTTTCATGATTGGAGCTCCTTGTGAAGCCTAGTACATTTTTTGTTTTGTAGTCTTGTAGTATCTTCAAGTAGACTGAGAGAGTTTTATTTGTTTTCTGATTATTAGGACTTTGAACCAGACTTAAGTCTGCTTGACAAAGCGGCTACATTAAAGTAAATGATCAGAGAGGATATAGTTTGCTGTAGGCAGCCCCCACCCCAACATCGGGAGGAAGTTATTTTGATAAATGATTTCTAGCACTCTTTATACAATACAATACAATAGCAGAGTTGGAAGGGACTTTGGAGGTCTTCTAGTCCAACCCCCTGCCTAGGCAGGAAACCCTATACCGTTTCAGACAAACAGCTACCCAACATCTTCTTAAAGACTTCCAGTGTTGGGGCATTCACAACTTCTGGAGGCAAGCTGTTCCACTGATTAATTGTTCTGTCAGGAAATTTCTCCTCAGTTCTAAGTTGCTTCTCTCCTTGATTAGCTTCCACCCATTTGCTTCTTGTTCTGCCCTCAGGTGCCTCTTTGTTGCCTTTCTCCCAGTCTGGGTGCATTTGGATCATCTATTTCAAACATCCCTTTACCTACGTTTTATTAATATCAGGGAAACCAGCTCCAGCCTTTGTGAATTGCTCCCTTTCCAGTTTAGCTCCCATTTTCATTCAGTTTTCTCTTTTTTGCCCTTCCTCCCATATCTGAGAAGTTAACTGGATTCTCAGCAGACAGGCAAAGTCTCCTCCCCCACGCCTGTCTCAAGGGCATTTTTCATAATATGTTCTAGATAGGAGGAACTTCAAAAGGTTTGGAGGGAGAAGACAATAAAAGCGTCCAGCTCCTGAAGGACAAGGGTGGTGCCGGTGTGGGGTGGGATTTGTCTTTTATCTTCAGAGATAATGAGAGCTGGCAGAAAGCCAGAGCTGTAAAGATTTCTGAGCCAGGAAAGTCTTGGAGAGGAAGCAAATTTCACTCTCCCCTTGCCATTGGCTGTACTTTTCCTGCTGGTTATTAAAATATGTATTTTCTTCAGAAACTTAGCTGTGTTAGAGGCATGGGATTTAGTGAGATTAGCAAGCTCTCCTGTATATTTCTAAAAGCCTAATGCTTTATTTAAAAAAATCCCATAGAAGCAAACTAGAAATTTTCCCTCAGTTTAAACCACTCTTTCCCACATGGTGCCCTTTAACCTATGCTGAACCATTATAATTATTGTCAATTTGATGTATATTTCCATATTTATAACCAGAGGGCACTCAGGATAGCTAAGTACTCCTGGGCCTCTGATGTCAAATATATTTTACCACCTCTTGTGCTCCTTTCTGTCTCCTGCTTCTTACGATTTTGTAATTGAAAACAGGTGCAGTGCCAGAAAGTGCGACCCAGATGCTGTTAGAGTCCTGAATGCTTTTCCTGGGGTCCTTCTGCTTGAATGTCCTTCCAAAAGCCTTCTTTCTGTAGCAGTAGTGATTTTTCAAAACCTTGAATTTTACAGATTGCTGATGTTTGACTATCTAACACCAGGAATTCTGTTCTCTGGTGTTGGAAGAAATGTCCTTCTGGGTTCAGTTCCAAGTGGGGAGAAAAACACTGGAAACATGGAGGCTGCTTGGAAAGATGGTTTTTATGGTGGACAGGACCACATGGCTTGAGGTCCTGGGGGAAAGGGGGATCCCATGTCTTGAAGATCTTGAAGAAAAAGCGAAGAGATGCTGAGGGAGCCTGAGTTTTATACCCTCTCTTGAGCCCCACCTTGCAGCTTCCTGTTCCTGTGTAAGAAATGTATTCTGATTGGTGGTCAGACTCCCAGAGGGCGGAGGTCTTAGCTAACTTTGTAGGCTGTCTGACGTTTGAGTCCCAAGCTTGGTTGAGCTGTTGCTGGGTGAGGATGTAATAAAAGGGCTTTGGGATTCCTATTATGGCTCTGCCTGAAGGAAGTAGAGCTTTGTAATGTAGAATAGACTGGCTCTGGCCTTAATGGCCCATTGACAAAAGTGGGGAGGCTGAGATTATGCCTCCCTTTTAGGGGGAATATTCTGTACTTTTAATATTTCCTAAAATATTTCATTTTTCTAGGAGAGGGATGCGTGCTAACTTCCTATACTGGGCTTAATTATATTGGTGAAAGGGCAGTACATCTTTTGTCTTAAATTAAACTGAGTTCTGGACCAACGTTATATGTGCTTAGGAAGAATTCTTCTGCGAAAGAGAGAGAAAGGGAGATGTTTGTGCTGGCATCATTTTTACCTAAATGGTACGCTTCAGAGGTTCGCCACAGCAATTCATGGTGACTTCTGCTTAAGAGCATTGGTCGGACAAAATCCTCAAATGAACAGTTCGTTCCTCTGTTCAATAATACAGCGTGGCTAATTGCAAACCTTTGCATAGTCCTCTCCAGAGATACCGAAAATTATAGCTTTGTATGGCCTAGAAGCTATCTTGGAGGTTAACTTGCTGTTTAGGCTTTTGGAGAACACCATGCCCTCATTCTCTTGAACACAAGGAAAGCCATTGGAATGCTTGTGGTCAGTCACAAATGAGTCTTCACATTAGAGTGCATACATAACCATGGCAATCAACGTATGATACAATCAGTGGTGGAATTGAATATGTAGTAAAATCTACTGACATGTGCTATTTCTATGTTTATTATGAAAATGGATGGAAAGTCTATGTGGATTTGCTTAGTGGGTTTTGTTATTGTCCACCTTCATAAAGTGTGCTTCAAATTTATAAATGCCGCTTTTCAGTTGCACAATCCCTGTTGCACTTCAGTATGTACAGTAGAGAGAACCTTGTATATGACTCCAGCAACTTTCAACGTGCTAATTCTATGCATGATGACATCTTGATAGAATATGATAAGACATAAGATATATACTATTCTATACAAGCAGCTTGAATATGTAAAGGTTTCCCAATTTATATTTCCTAGGGCCTTCAGGGAAGCCTCCTGAAGGTACCTGAAGCCTCCAGAGGGCCTCCGGGGGGGGGGGAGGCTGTTTTTACCCTCCCCAGAATCCTATAAAGCCTCTGGAGCCTGGGGAGGGTGAAAAAAGCATGGAAAAATGGGGGGGAGCACCTCCCATGTGTGCATTCGCACTGGGGGGGTCACACATTGCATTATGGGTGTGGCACACCTGCGCACGACCTCCCTGCGCTCTCCCCCCTTATGGCACGTGAGCCAAAAGAGGTTTGCCATTGCTGTCCTAGGCTGTGACATGAAATAATCTTAAAGAATGGTAGTAGATCTTACTGTGTATCTTTTTGTGATTTTTTACAAAACAATGAATGCTTGGTTCAAACCAGGCATTTTGGGGGGCAGGAGGCCAAATATCCCTAGTGTTTGATAACTTTCAGTGTAATGACAGCTTGTGCATGATGCTTTCCACTCTATCTGCTTGGAGCCATGGTGGCGCAGTGATTAGAATGCAGTATTGCAGGCTGGTTCTGCCCACTGCCAGGAGTTTGATTCTGACTGGCTCAAGGTTGACTCAGCCTTCCATCCTTTCAAGGATGGTAAAATGAGGACCCAGATTGTTGGGGGCAGTATGTTGGCTCTGTAGACTGCTTACAGAGGGCTGTAAAGCACTGTGAAGTGATATATAAGTCTAAGTGCTATTGCTATTGCTATTGCTTTCTATTTTGTGTATCAATTAGGGAATCTCTTGTTAACCTTTTTTTTTCATTCCCCTTTTAGCATCAGATGTGCCAGCAGCAACATGTAACCTGGAGGAATTCCAGTGTGCTTATGGGCGTTGTATCCTGGACATTTACCATTGTGATGGAGATGATGACTGTGGGGACTGGTCCGATGAATCTGATTGCTGTAAGTTATTTGCAGCAAGGGCCTGCAGACTCAGATCAAATGGCATTGCTGTGTTGTTTTTTAGTCAGATGTGCTTCATTTAACAGAGAAAATGTGTGATGGGCATCTGTCATTCCAATATTCAAAAGAAGAAGCTTTTCAGCTTTCCCTCCAGATAACAAACTGACTCTCTTGGGCTTAATTTGGGCTGAATTAGAGTCTGAATTATCATATATCGTTTATCTCCGTAGCCTCTCACCAGCCTTGCCGCTCTGGAGAGTTCATGTGCAACAGTGGCTTGTGCATTAATGCTGGCTGGAGGTGTGATGGCGATTCTGATTGCGATGACCAGTCGGATGAGAAAAACTGCAGTGAGTATCCTGGGACTTGTAAATCAAGTCCAGCCTGGGGGCAACAAGTAAGAAAATAGGAAAGCGTGTCATAAAACTGTTTTGAAATTCTTGTTCATGTTTATTTCTTCAGCTACCTCTATGTGCACAGCTGACCAGTTCCGATGTAAATCTGGCCGCTGCGTTCGGCTGTCTTGGCGCTGTGATGGGGAGGGAGACTGCTCTGATTACAGTGATGAGGAAGACTGTGAGGACTCGGGTAAAGATTGTACAATTGAATGCCTTTTTTGAGCTAAAATCTGTGTGCTAAGTTCGTCTGTCCGTTCTATAATTTGGAATATTCTTCATTCAGGAATCCCACAATGTTCCCCTGACCAATTTCTGTGTGGAAATGGGCGCTGCATCGGCCAACGGAAGCTATGTAATGGGGCCAACGATTGTGGAGATGGCAGTGATGAGAGCCCTGCCCAAAACTGCCGTAAGTTGATAGTCCTTGACTTACAACCATAATTGCAACTAGAATCTCGGTCATTGAGCTTAATGAAGTCATGAGGCTGTTTTGCTCAACATCGGCAATCTCAGCATTCCCAAGATTTGTGGTTGTTAAGTGATCTTGTGAGTTGTTAAGCAAAGGGAGTTCTAGGTATGGAATGCAGATGCCTCAAGGGAATGAGGAAGACATAGGGAGATGCAAAGCAGGCAGCATGTTCAGGATCTGAAAATCCTCCTTGCCAAAATCCAAGAAGGATTTTCAGCCCCTGAGTGAGCACTTGTGCACAGCCTACATTGGGTCTCCCAGTACCTCTCTCAACACCCACCCCCAAGGCACTCTACACTCCTTACCTCCCCACACTGCCTGTTCAGGGGCTGAGAATCTTGCTTGGATTTTGGCTTCCTTTCATCTCCAGGGGCTGGCTGAAGGAACTCCATGCCTGTTAGCATGGAGCTGAAATTCTTCATGCCTGTTTGCTGGAAGCTGAAATCCTTCAGCAGAAAGCTCTTTCAGCCAGCCCCAGAGATGAGAGGAAGTCCACTCAGCATAGCATCAACTTGCAACCTTCCTTGCTCATTTATCCATTGACTTTTTGGGGAAACTGGCAGAGAAGTTTGCAAATGACAAACAGGTTGCCAAGCACCTCGATAGCGATTGCATGACCGATGTGGGGTGTGTATGTGCGCGTGTTGACATTTTGCAATGGGCAGAAGTGTTTTATAGGTTATAAAACACCTTTTCTAAGGCCATCATTAATTTGAATAATTTGAACGATCAGTTAAGTTGTAAATTGGTAAACTACCTGTTAGAATATTCTGAACATTGGGGTGATGACCTAATCTGGTATTTTCACTCCTTCTTTCTTATCTTATCTTATCTTATCTTATCTTATCAAATCCTAGTTTGTCTTTTTTGGGAAATTTTTATGGATGCAAGTCTATTTGTGGAGAAATTTGGCATTCCAGGTATATATTGAAGAGCCAAGCTAAGCTCAGCCAAGAGATAGGAATTATTCCTTTCTTGACAATTTAGGAGCAATTGTTTGTGTGAAATATGGGGTCTCTTTTTTCCACTTGAGAACTCAAACTCTTCTTTCTCCCCTGACTACTACTTTATAGGTATTTTTCATAATTTGTCCTAGATAAGAGGAAAATTCTAAAAGAATGGTTGCATTACAATCGTTTTCTGCCTCTGATCTTTCCACAGGTCCTCGAACTGGAGAGGAAAATTGTAATGTCAACAATGGGGATTGTGCCCAGAAATGCCAGATGATTCGCGGAATAGTGCAGTGTACCTGCCATACAGGTTACAGGCTTCTAGAGGATGGTAGATCATGTCAGGGTAAGCAGTTTGAGCACTTAGGGGCATCTGTAGGTTTGATTGGGAATGAAATTCATAGCACCTTCCTAAAAGTTATAGCACTGACAGGCAGTGGCATTAACCAAGTTCAACTGCATAATTATATGGACCTTTCTGATTTGTATTGATGCTTCCAAATCACTGATCCTAACACTATCAATCAAAGACACTTTATTAACCCTCTCTTAATAGTATTTTTTTAATTAAAAAAAGCAAAGTAGAATCAATAGAAAAATGGGAAGATTCTAATGGAAAGAGAATTTTCTGAATTTAAGGAGAAAAAAAAAGTTTAAACCAGTAGCTGCATATAATGACCTTGTTTCGAAGTATCTATAGTAGAAAATCTGCTAATCTGACTGAGTTCTTTTTTTTTCTTTATCCTATTACCTAGTACGGAGATGGCGAACCTTTTTGTTGTTGCGTGTCAGAAGTGCGTGCACATGTCCGCAACAGCACACACCCGCACCCATAATGCAATGCGCCCGTGACTCCACCACCCCATGTTCCACCTCCCTGCATATTCGCCCCATACTCTCCTGTCCCCGCGTATGTATCCATGACCCCTACCCCCATGCTCTGTTTTGGGCCTAGTAGGCCTCCCTGCAGCTTCCTGGGACCAAAAATGGGCTACGGGGGGGTCCAACCCCCCGCGCATGCACGTGTGACCCCTCACCTCCTCCAACACATGCACATGTGTCTCCTACATGCGTCCCACCCCCTGCGCATGTGCAGCAAAGACCTGAAAATCAGCTGGCTGGCGGGAGGAGCGCATTCATGCATCGTGGAGCTGAGCTGGGGTGACGGTTCGCATGCCCGTTGAGAGGGCTCTGCATGCCACCTGTGGCATGCATGCCATAGGTTCGCCATCATGGACCTAGTACTGTAATAGGACAAAGGGAAAAAAAGAACTCCAGGGTCATAAAAAGGGCCGGGTTTTTTAATTACATTCATAATATGAATAGATTACAAATTGTGTAGATGATGATGATTGTGTAGGCTGGAGATGATTAGTTAAGTACTTGATATTCTGGGTTATCTTTTACTGTTTTGGTTTTATTATCTCTGTGAGTCATCGAGAGTTGTGCTTTACAAGACCGATAGCAATACAAATCTTTGACTGGTGCAGTGGCCTAGCGGTAGAGATCTCACCTCACAATCAGGAGGCTGTGAGTTTGATCCTATGCATTTCTCTCTCTGGGCACAATGAGAAAAATATCTGCTGCGAACTCTGCATTGGGGACAGGAAGGGCAACTGGCCAGTAAACACTCAGCTCCATTGCCCCGACTCCACCCCAACGTGAGGGGTCATTAAAAGACAAAAAATAGCCATATAAATCTTTAAAATAAATAAATAAGCATCAAAGTATGGAATCCAAAACCAAACTATTTACCCTTTTTTCTTTAGTTGTTCAGACTCTTTATCCTTTTCTGATTCCAGATGTGAACGAATGTGCAGAGGAAGGTTATTGCAGCCAGGGGTGCACCAACAGTGAGGGTGGTTTCCAGTGCTGGTGTGAACAAGGCTATGAGCTTCGCCCAGACAAGCGCAGCTGCAAAGCTCTGGGTAAGAAAGAGGCTTCAGCTCCAGGCACTGGGGATCATTCAGTGCTGAGAATCCATCCATGTGTCTGATGGATGACTGCCGGCTTAGTTCATGGCTTCAGTTTCTCCACGGTGCTTAATTTTCAATTGCTGCTTGCGTAAGGAGGCTAGTCTATTTTTCCACAGCCTGATGACTCTAGTCGGGCTGGATTATCGCTTCCATTATTCCATGACAATACATTTTGGGTTGTGTTTACTAGACTTAATGGAAGTTATAGTCCAACACTTTTTGGTTGGAAAAAGCTAGACTAGGATTTTGGGGGCAGGGGTTCTATCCCCAGCTCCATGCCTCTTTTGGAAAATAGAAAATGTGATAATAATGGTTCTGTAGGAGATGACCAGGCTGAGCCTGAGGAAGGGGTCAAATGCATCATCAGTCATGAGTTCCATCATGCCCACAAGAGATCTAAGTCAGCCCACTTTGAATTCCATCTATTCCTAACTCTTACTAATTTCCCTTAACCGGTCTAGAGAGCTTAAACTTACAATAAATCTTTATACACATTGAACTGCCTGGATCTCCTAATTTTCCAGAAAGTTTCTCTCTGGAAATATTACTGATATTTTGATTGGTACTAGTACAAGTTATTGAGTTATTAGTCGCCCCTTTAGATATTACCAAACTAGAACTCCCAATCTTATAGCTGAGAGTAATCGGAGAACACAAATTTCTATCCCTTAGCCTGGCATCTGATGTAAAATACCTGGGAAAATGTGTTTTTTGTCACACATTTGTCAAAAGGTCAGCAAAAATTCATTGATAAAAGGCTTTAAGGCTTCTTAGCCAAAGAACAGGTATCTTGTCACAAGGTGTTTTTTAATGGAGTAGAGCCGTGACAGAGAACCTATGGAGTCATTTCTTAGTTCCCTGGTCTGCTCCAGCGCGCATGCTTCCCTGAAGCCTCCGGAGAGAGAAAAACGACCCAGAAGTCCGTTCCCAAACTTCCAGTTTGCGTGTTGGGTCGTTTTTAGCCTTTAGGAGGCTTCCCTGATATAGACAGCTTCTTAAAGGGGCAGTAACCCTGCTGACCCATTCTCATTTCATCAACTTGGTTTACAGCCTTACAGCAGCTGGTCATCTATTAAATTATCATTACTGTAACAGATATGGAATTACCTAGTTTTTGAGAAGCCAAGTTATATCAGGATGGCATTCACATGGCTTTTCAGAAAGTTAGAAAAGTCTATTTTTGTGGGCAGCCTTTCAGGATTGATTCTGGGGCAACAAATTATATATATATATATATTATTGTTTATTGTTTTCTGTTATTATTACTATTATTACTATATTTTACTGTAAATCTCTAGGGTCAACTGGACTAAGGTAGTATATAAATTTCACAAAGAAACAGATAAAAATGTACCATATTTTTCAGAGTATAAGACGCACCTTTTTTCCTCAAAAAAAGAGGCTGAAAATCTGGGTGCGTCTT